ATTATGTACTATATATACAGTATATATCACTGTACCCTGTACTATATATACAGTATTCAACAATGTACGCTGTACTATATATACAGTTTACCTCACTGTACCCTGTACTATATATACAGTTTTCCTCACTGTACCCTGTACTATATATACACTCTGTACTATATATACAGTTTACACCACTGTACACTGTACTATATATACAGTTTACCCCACTGTACCCTGTACTATATATACAGTTTTCCTCACTGTACGCTGTACTATATATACAGTTTTCCTCACTGTACCCTGTACTATATATACAGTTTACCCCACTGTACCCTGTACTATATATACAGTTTACCTCTCTGTACCATGTACTATATATACGGTTTACCCCACTGTACCCTGTACTATATATACGGTTTACCCCACTGTACCCTGTACTATATATACAGTACCCTGTACTATATATACAGTTTTCCTCACTGTACGCTGTACTATATATACAGTTTTCCTCACTGTACCCTGTACTATATATACAGTTTACCCCACTGTACCCTGTACTATATATACAGTTTTCCTCACTGTACCCTGTACTATATATACAGTTTACCTCACTGTACCCTGTACTATATATACAGTTTTCCTCACTGTACCCTGTACTATATATACAGTTTTCCTCACTGTACCCTGTACTATATATACGGTTTACCCCACTGTACCCTGTACTATATATACAGTTTTCCTCACTATACCCTGTACTATATATACAACTTACCTCACTGTACCCTGTACTATATATACAGTTTACCCCACTGTACACTGTACTATATATACAGTTTACCCACTGTACACTGTACTATATATACGGTTTACCCCACTGTACCCTGTACTATATATACAGTTAACCCCACTGTACCCCGTACTATATATACGCTGTACCTCACTGTACCCTGTACTAATATGCACGTACGAGTTATTTCCCTTACGCTGAGCTTCGCCTTCTTAAATCTATTTTGTTAGCGGTAACTTGTCAATGGGAATACTAAGTCTTTTATCCTGATATAAATTGATGGGTAAACAAAAAATCTCTGTCCATGTGTGCATTTTTATGGAAATAGACCAACATTCCGGAGGTTGTTGGAGACTTTTTTTTCTGTTGTTGTTTGAATGGTAAAGCGAGACGTATCAAACTGCTTCCAAAGTGAAGTTATGTAGTGGGGTTTCATTATATGTTGATTCATAAAATTGTGCCACAATCGTCAGGTGTATTTTAATTAGACGTCAAGCTCATGTGCAATAAAGATCACAAATGTTACCTTTATATTATACATAAAGATAGATATTACACGTAATGGTATATATTATACCTAAATATAGATATTATACGTAAAGATAGATATTACACGTAATGATATATATTATACCTAAATATAGATATTATACCTAAAGATATATATCATACATAGAGATAGATATTATACCTAAAGATATATATCATACATAGAGATAGATATTATACATAAAGATATTTATCATACATAGAGATAGATATTATACATAAAGATATATATCATACATAGAGATAGATATCATACATAAAGATATATATCATACATAGAGATAGATATTATACATAAAAATATATATCATACATAGAGATATATATCATACATAGAGATAGATATTATACATAAAGATATATATCATACATAGAGATAGATATTATACCTAAAGATATATATCATACATAGAGATAGATATCATACATAAAGATATATATCATACATAGAGATAGATATCATACATAAAAATAGATATTATACCTTAATATAGATATCATATATTATACCTAAAAATAAATATTATATATAAAGATAGATATTAATGAAATATGAAGAACAAAATTTAATTGAACGTATGAAAGATGATACAGATTTCTCAAGATTCGTTGAAATACATAACCAGCTTAAACCTAACGTCTTATGGAAACTAGCGCTCCAGTTTCCCCAATACAGGGAAAATATACAATATATGATGAAAATAGTAGTAATTATTCGAAACTTGACGACAATGGAATCATGTCATAAATGTGTGTTTCTATATCATGACCCAATAAGACATTTAGTACTACAGTGTAACTATACTTCAGAGTTGAGAGATCAACTATGGTGATGTTCAATTAATGTCAAGGATATAATGTTTAGTGTATATTTACACTGTCTATCAGACTCCGAAATGCTACATATATTGATTGGAGGAGAGGTTAACCACAATATTAGCGACGTAGAGTTGATTAATTTTAGATTAATATCAATCACGTATGTTTACAAAATGTGCAAATATTACTATACCTAATGTTTGAATCAATTATGCTAAAGATGAAGATATACGGTATGTGTCTGACATATTCACATAATTTTGTGTAAATTTGTGGGTCTGTAACACCTTGCTGGTAGGGGGCTCCCCAACCCCTGTGTGATACGGGCCTACACATTTATCCTTCTAGTGCATACCTTACACATTATTGTATTATACAAGTATATTAATACTTATTTATCATTATGTTGCCTATATCATATGTCTCAAAGTGAATCCTAATTCATATGACATACACTTGACATGTGGAATTAAAACTATAACTTACTATGTATATGTAAACTCTTCCACATATACTCTATGATATTCTATTAGTTTGATGTTTCACGTGCATGTGCAACTATATATACATGTATATACTATTTATAATGTATTTATGTAACCAAATGATTTATATCCATGTTCTATACTATCTGTACCCTTCATTTTGGAGGCAACAAAGAAAATAATAAGAAGAGTCAAGGTATCAACTTCGAAATAACAGAATATTTAATGAACCTATTTGTCGAACTGTAAGCTATATGGATAGTTTCTTTCCAAACATTATATCTGAATTTGATCAAATAAGTAATCTCATTACTAATATTCACTCTGTAAGGCACTTGAAAAAAACTATATTTAGGACAAATCCTCCAGCTTGTAAGAATAACATCATTTTTAGAGAAGGAGGACCAAGGAAATTAGATATCATTATCTGTCAGCTAAGGAATTCAGCCAGCATTCTAAATCATGATCTACATAAAGACCATCTTTATGATGACCCATCCTGTACATGTATTACCCAAAGTGAAACAGCTCAACATTTCTTTTTTGACTGCCCTAGATATATTAACCCCAGACAAAGTTTATTACAAACCTTAAACAATCATAACCATAACCACTATGATCTAAACTATGTTTTGCATGGCTGCCCAATCTGTACCACCCACATCAATAAATCATTGTTTGATGCTGTTAGTAGGTATACTGGTAAAACGGAAAGGATTTAATGTTTAATATCTACTGACATGAATTGAAATTATAGAACAAATCTAAAACAAAATATAATTTAAAAATTGATATCCTTCCATAGATATAGTTAATTCAACTTTTATCAATAATGAGATGAATGCTGGTTAATAGTTATGTACTTCTCACCTTTTCCCCGTTATTATTATTATTTGTTCTTTCTAATTTATTCCCAATATTTCAGTTATCATCTTATAATAAAGAAACTACTCTGTTCAGTACTTTATCTTGGTCTGAATATCCTTTTTAGTTAGAATAATAATCCTTTGTTGTAAGAAAAATGTGCTTTATGTGTACTTGCTCCCTCACTGAACTGGGAGAGGGCTAACTTTTATTTCATGGACATTCTGACCCAAACCCCTTTTATATGGGAGAGAAAGTACATGTAATGCACATTTAATATCATAAATATCATAAGACATAGTAAATTGAAAAGCTGATGGATTGTTAATTTTCTTCTTATAATCATATGATTAAAATATAAAAATAACAGAGTTGTCTCCCATAATTTAAAATTGATGAGTTTGTCAACACTAAATTTACGATTGTATGTATGTATGTATGTATGTATGTATGTATGTATGTGTGTGTGTGTGTGTGTGTGTGTGTGTGTGTGTGTGTGTGTGGGTGTGTGCGTGCGTGCGTGCGTGCGTGCGTGCGTGTGTGTGTGTGTATGTAATGTGTGTTATGTATGTATGTATGTATGTATGTATGTTTGTATGTATGTATGTTTATGTCTGACCACCATTTTATCTTGGGAGAAGACTAATATAGACTTTAGCCTACTGTCTAATCCTATTGATTATTTTTATCAATAAAATATTCTGAACTGAAAATGACCTTGGATAAGTCTGGGTGATTTATATATATGTATCTATAAAGGATAAAGATATCTCGCGCCCATCGAAAACTTTCTTCTTTTTTAATAACTGATATAAGATATTCTTATATTCCCGCGCCCATCGAAAACTTTCTTCTTTTTTAATAACTGATATAAGATATTCTTACAGCACTTGAATTAGATTAATCCGACGAAATTGAAATTTTCCTCTACTTTTTGAAAAAGTCGATTTTCTGTCTAAACCTTTATTACGGTTAATTTGAATATGTATTTAGTTGAATCCAGGATGTGCATAAAAACTCGATATTCTACAACACGGAAGAAACTTTACACAAATGAAACCAAATCATGGATGTGATTGTAATCAGAGATAACATATCACTTACATGTTACTATGTTAATATGATAAATTACAAAACGCTCACACCAAATATTATAAAACATATCAATTTAATAACGAACATGATTGATGTACAAAAATATAAATATATCAACATCATAAAGAATGATGAAATAATAAACATTGATCATATTGGAATTCAAAGAATCCGATACACATTTCATATATGTGATATAAAGCGGAATACACGATTGATCACCACAGCACAGAAACAAAACTTCTCCTTAAGTTTGGATTTTGGTATTAAAATCAACATATGGAAACATATACCTAAGTATTAAATACGGTAAATCATATGTTTGAAATGTATGTATACATGTGACATGTCCATTAAGTAAAATGTCCATTACAAAAGGACCAATCAAATGCAAAAATAAAAAGAAACACGCATGATGATAATGATGCCACCTTGGTTCCCTATAGCGCACATTTTACGGGGGATCACTGTCGACTTTACCACAAAAAATATTGTAAGCAAGGCATTGCGAGATCAGGTTAAGAATACCATACAACAATGTATGTATTAATGTCAGAGTAATAGTATCTCACCGATACTGCTTTAATTCTGAAAGGATTTACACGTGACGTCGAACGAGGTCTGTCGGGTGATACAACGATTGTCTTCCCATTGCTTCTTCCGGTAGCGTTTGCGCATGACGAGCCATGAATCACTATCGTATTCCTCTGCCACGGAGTCTTCGTCTTTGGCGATGATGAGGCTGGTCAGGAGTTTTTTCAGTGATGCCCATTGCTCCTCAGACTCTGAGTGCAGCTTCAAAAATGGGTCATTACTGTTCACAAGACGTCTAGCCCTTCCAATCAATGGCGAATTGCCTTCGGCTGGCATGTTTTCTACTTCTGAAAGCTGCTTCAGAAGTTCTGTGATGCGAGTCTCGTCGATGGATTTGAGAGCCGAGAACAGCTGTTCCCGGAGGTCATCATACTCTTTGGTGATTGAGCCTTCAAAATACATTGTGTCTAGTCGGGCAAGGAGCTTGACCCCTCTTCCACGTATGGAGTTGGCGGCATCGTTGCGACTTTCCAGAATCCTGGGGATGTTTTCCTCTGTGTAAGGGCCGTGCATACCTGTCTGTCCGTCCATGAATCTGAGCACTTGTGCGCCACCGATACCGATTCCATCTACTCCGGCATAAACGGCATGTTTGATTTCGTTGAATTTAAAACCAGCGGAAAAATAGGTGACAAGTCCTCTGATATGAGCCTCATGAACGATTGTGAGAGCTTCTTCAAATTTCAACTGGTACATGATGCACTTAGAAGGGTAGGTATCGCTAGCCCCGTCCCACGTGACCTTATCAAATCCACCAATAGAAGTAATTTCGATGGCTCTGGTAGCAATAGCCATCCTCTCATTCAAAGTAATGGGAGATGTCTCTTCATAGTCATCTGTGATTATCTGGTTAAGATTCCATGCTGCTGACAAAAATTGTTTCCGGTTCCTTTGAACCTGTCCGCGGAGTGATTGCATGTAGCGTACAGCCTGTGAAGTGCTCAGTCCTTCCATGGACACCTTGCATTCTGCCGCTCCCTGGAAAAATGCCGCTGTGGCAGAGGCTGCAGTGATATTGACCAGCTTCAAGAAATCCTCATCAAAATTTCCAGAATCTTTTACCCGTCGCCCAACAAAGTATGTAGTCGGGGCACTAGTACCAACATGCAATCTGACTTTGGAGAAGTCAAGCATGGACGGAATCCTATATGATTCAATGTTCTCTCTTGGCAAATTTCGAGGACGTTCTAAATGTTCCACGTGGACGATGGCACCTTCCATCCACTCGTTAAAACGTGTAGTACCTAGCACATGGCCCTCTCCGGGGTCAGTGAGGGACATGTACGTCTGTGTGGTGGGTCGGAACCCTGAAGTTCCCAATCCACGTGCGTTGTGGTGGTGCCCCTGGGATCCGTGCGACAGGCTATAGTAAGCCAACTGGAAGGCGAAATATTCCACTGGGGTTGGTTGTCGCCTCTGGTCACGGAGAAGCTGTGCCATCTTGGTTACAGAAGCCATAAAGTCATTTGACAGAGTATCCTTGTCCCAGTGAAGGTATACTTTATTCATGGCCTCGTCAATTGTCGCCTCGAACAGGGACACCTCCTGAGGGGTCGGAATCATGCCGACGTACAGCTCGTTTTCTACCCCCCAGGATTGAATCACCTTGGTTGCCTCCTTCCCGGCCTTCTCCACTTGTGCTATGATAGACTTGACGTTCTTTGTCTCGATCATACTCTCGCATATCTCCCAGAATGGACCTTCACACTTCTCCTGACCTGGGAAGATGTATTTTAGTCTCTCGCATACATGGTTTTTAACGTTACTGAAGTCAACAGCCGTTCTCACCGGAAGTTCCCTCTCAGAACGAAATGGCTTGGTCTGACTATCAATTTTCACCCTAACATTATAGATGTTCTGTAATACATCCTGTAAGTAAGCCAGTGCAACCTTCCTCAGTTTTCCTATGGCAATAGTACACATTTGTTCTGCCTGAAAAGATAAAAGTTATTACAGATTATGATTGCAAAACATTTACAAGCATATTCTTTCTTATAAATGCACACACACTCAATAACACATATAAAAGATAAAAGAAAGGAATTCATTTGTGTTGCATTATCAAACAGAGTAACAAATACATAGGTGACATTGTGTATCACACAACTATCAGAGTAGATCAACATAGTAAACCTTGTTAAAATATCACTAAGTTCAGAGGTAACGAGAATAATTTCATCATCCTGTCACCTTGTATAATTAACAATAAAAAAAATATCGAAGTTAATACATCACAATGTACAAGTTGAATTATTGGTACTAAGCTGTCGTCCTTACCATTTTGGGAGATGTCGTGTGCTCGTGATCAGTTGAGCTCGGAAT